AAAAAAAAAAAAAAAGACAGAATTTGTGAGGGTATAACTTACAAGAATTGTTTTAAATAGGTAACTTTTTTTTCTTTCTTGAGACGGAGTTTCACTATGTCGCCCAGGCTGGACTGCAGTGGTGTAATCTCGGCTCACTAGAATCTCCGCCTCCCGGGTTCAAGTGACTCTCCTGTCTCAGCTTCCCAAGTAGCTGGGACTACAGGCATGTGCCACCATGCCTGCCTAATTTTCATATTTTTTGTAGAGACAGTGTATCACCATGCTGGCCAGGCTGGTCTTGAATTCCTGACCTCAGGTGATCCGTCCACCTTGGCCTCCCAAAGTGCTGGGATTACAGGCATGAGCCACCGTACCTGGCTGGTAAAAACATTTTTAAAGTTCTACTTTAAGAAAATGGAGGCAGGACACTCTGGCTCATGCCTGTAATCCCAGGAGTTTGGGAGACAGGTTGGAGGACTACATGAACCCAGGAGTTTGAGACTAGTGGAGGCAACATAGTGAGACCCCCATCTCTATAAAAAGAAAAAAAGCCAGGTGTGGAGGCATGCACCTTTAGTCCCAGCTACGTGGAAGGATGAGGTAGGGGGATCGCCTGAGCTCAGGAGTTTGCGGCTGCAGTGAGCTATGACGCTCCACTGCATTCCAGCCTGGGCAAGAGAGTGAGATGCTCTCAAAAAAAAGGAAAGCCACTAATTTTTAGAATATTTGGCAGACTTTTTTTTTTTTTAAATATATAAAGATGGGGTTTCACCATGTTGGTCAGGCTGCTCTTGAACTCCCAACCTCAGAAGATCCACCCGCCTTGGCCTCCAAAGTGCTTGGATTACAGACGTGAGCCACCACGCCTGGCCTGGCAGACATTAAAAAAAAAAAAAATTCAAGAAATAGTAGTAGGCATTGTGGAGCTATTGCTAATTCGAAGGACTTAAGAGGGAAAGCCCACATTCTCCTCCCTCCAAGTAATCGAGAAGGAGGCATCATAGTTTGTCCTTTGAGGAGACAGACTAGATGTAATTCTGACTTCTGTTTCCAACTGTGCCACTAACTCAGACTCAGATGTGTGGTGTAAAGCATAACACATACCACCCCACTGAACCTTAGTTTTCACATCTGTAAAAGTAGAAAATAATATTCATGTATGTCAAAGGGCTATGTGAATTATCTAATGAATGATTATATAAAGTGTTGAACTCATAAAACTCTATACAAATGTTATAAGTATTACTAATTTAGATGAATAAATAGGCATCAGAGTAAAATAGTAATTAAATGTCAATAAAGGTAAGCAGCTCAGCTGAAAAACAAACTGACTTTCAGAGTTAGGCGCCAGAAATTCTATAAGAGCTGAGGAGTTGAAAAGAATAAAATTGTATAAAGGAGACTGAGTGTCATGTTCTGCTAGAGTCTCCAAAGCATGGTAAAGAGCACATGTTTCTGTAACTCTAGAATTCTAACCTATCTTTAGCTGGAATCACTTTGAAGATAAAATATTTTTTCAAAATTAAATATCCAGTAAATAGGACTAGGAATTTTTAAGGAATATATATGTGTCTATGGTCATGTACACGTACACTTGTAACCATGGTATATATTTTGAGTGCATACACATACAACACACACACATATACACACACGCACGCACTCTCTGTTTCAAATACCAACAGGCTCTTCTAAAGAAAATGTAGTGTAATCAGAATGGAATGTCGAGGTAATTAAAGGATTTTGACTGGATAATTCTTTACAAATGCTTTCACATTGTAGTGTTTAACTTTTAAAGAAGAAAGTATTCTATAATTAAATAGCAAAACAACTGTATATACATGAAATAAAGGGCGGGGGGATAGATTGGTTTACAGAGCAATTATGTTGTACCTGTAAGACATGAGTTTACCACAAACAATATGAACTTCCCACACAATATTGCTGTGATTGGAATATTTGGGTATATATTTTCAGTCTTCTTTGTAATATACTTGAACCACAGGGAGACAGCCTTCAATATATGGGTCTCTAAAACTTAATATGATGATTACATTCACTCTTCTTCTTCTATTTACTCAATAGAATTTTAGTCTTCATAAGACATATTTCGTAACAGTGGAAACTTACCTTTAAAAATACAAAGCTTCTACAAGTGACTCATAAATCTACTACAAAACAAATCTCCTTATAAGCACATCTATCTTGAATGGTATATTACACCCATAATTGTTCAATTCATGGTTAATTATTACTTAGAAATTCATGTTTATGGCTCTGCTTCACCTGCAATATGAAAACATACTCCTGATATATTGTTCCTTAACTTCCTGGATCAATATACTCTGGGGTAGCTTTGTAAGAGAAGTTGACAATGTAGTCTTTTCTTCTTTAACTACCAGTTAAGAATATACTGAGAAATGACAACAGGCAAAGAAAATTTACGCTAATTATTCCCTTTCCATGCTTCCTTTCTTTCTGAAGTAGAGATCAAACTGTATTATGCAGGCTGTCTCTTGTGGCTTGGTGGAAGAAAGTTAACAGTACTACTTTTAGAAAAAAGTATTACTTTAATGATAGGAGAACTTAAAGCAGTTAATAGCAACATCTCAAATGTTTGCTTTTTTTTTTTTTTTTGAGACAGAGTCTTGCTCTGTCACCAGGCTAGAGTGCAATGGTAAGATCTTGGCTCACTGCAACCTCCTGGGTTCAAGCAATTCTCAGCAATCCTCCTGAATAGCTGGGACTACAGGTGTGTGCCACCATGCCCGGCTAAGTTTTTGTATTTTTAGTAGAGACAGGGTTTCACCATGTTACCCAGGATGGTCTCCATCACCTCACCTTGTGATCTGCCCATCTTGACCTCCAAAAGTGCTGTGATTATAAGCATGAGCCACCACGACCAGCCTCAAATGTTTGCTTTTAATGTGTTTATAATGATTTCATTTTAGTGCATATTTACTCTAGCATTTCCAGAAATTGAATATATTGTATAAACAGTTCATTTTCAAGGGGTAAGTATGGTATAGTGGTATTGTTTAATTTCCTAAGAGAAGCATACAAATTTTTTTTTTTTTTTAAGACAGGGTTTCACCATGTTGGTCAGGCTGGTCTTGAACTCGCGACCTCAGGTGATCCACCTGCCTTGGCCTCCAAAGTGCTTGGATTACAGGCGTGAGCCACCACGCCCAGCCGAAAAGCATACAATTATTCAGTTCTTCAAAGAGTTTTTATTGAATTAGAAAAACATTTAAAAATAATTGATGTAGGCCGGGCTCGGTGGCTCAAGCCTGTAATCCCAGCACTTTGGGAGGCCGAGGCGGGTGGATCATGAGAGGTCAAGAGATCGAGACCATCCTGGTCAACATGGTGAAACCCCGTCTCTACTAAAAATACAAAAAAT